TTTTTTTTTTTAATTCAAGGAAGAGATTATGCTTTCACACTAAATGTTAGGGTTGTCTTCTTACCTTAGGAATCCTGGTGGTGAGAGAGAGACTGTAAAGGGTGAGGGAGAGGAATGGGAGTAAGAGGCGTGCAAAGCAATTAGAGTCAGAAGTGATGTCAAAAACTGTCAAGTGACAAGGTTAAATTTTAATTATAAAATTTGAGCAACCCCATTTCAACAGTACACATAATTAAGGAGAGTAGGGCCTAATGATAAAACCTGAAAGTGAAGTTTTAACAGAGGTAGAGGTGCCCTGTCTTGAATATGTGATATTGACATCCTACGGGATGAACGCTTTGGTCCAAGAAGGCAGCTTCTGTGGAATTGCTGATACATTGGACCTTACAGAGGAGGTTATAACAGAAAGAGACCTGATATAAGAACTTGTATTTTCATGCTGACTCTCCTGGGTGATCTCTCATGCCTGTCTACCTTCTGGGTGCTTTCATTTCTGTTGTAAAATGAGGATGTTACATAGGTTCACCAAAAGTTTATTGTGGAAATCAAATACCCAATTCATAGGGCTATTGAAAGGAACAGGAGACGTTTAAAGGATGTGGAAACACTATAAAGTGCTATAAGAGTGTTAGACATTATCATTATAATTATAGTGACCTATTTTCCAAACCCAAATTGGACCACATGGTATGAGAGAGGATTTTTGTGCCACTTCCAAGGGCGAGAGGCAGTCTGCAAAATGTGGTTCAGATGCCAGGATATTGAAATTTCTGGCACATTTTGATGGTTTATGGGAGCAATGATAAAATATCTGAAATAGTGGCTGTTCAGTAAAATTTATGATGTGTGATCACTATAATTATATTTCTTTGCAAAAGGTATTTCATTTCTCATATAAGCAGAAGTTCGTTGGTTTAACAAAATCTCAGAGCCTGGAGAGACTTTCAAAAACTCTACTTCAGTTTCATATTCTAAGTCTCCAGAACAAATGGTGGGTGAAGATTAAGGGGGGGCACAAATTTTATAGTCTTCCTCGGTACAGTAGCTTCTCTTATTATTGAACATCATTACCTCAGAATCTCTGTACTTTAACTGTTAACACCTTTATTTTTCACCTTAAAAACAACACATAACTGACATAGCCTTATATAGGAAAAGAATAATTCTTTTAATAGAATTTTTTTTTTTTTGTAAAGGATAACAATACAAAAAGTTGAAAAAATGACTGTTGGAACTCTCTGGCAGAAGGGCTTAAACCCCTTATGGGCCATAAACATTGAATTCATTTTTCCTAGAATATATTATGTTTCTTGGATGATAACTATAAAAGTATATTTCATTTCCTTTGGTTTAGCACCATAATGAGTCCATATGATATCTGGCATCAAATCCTACCTAGAAATTAACATTTTTAAGTTATTTATTCCTTGGGGTTCTTTGATTTCCTTCATTATTATTTCTTCTTCTTCTTCTTCTTCTTCTTCTTCTTCTTCTTCTTCTTCTTCTTCTTCTTCTTCTTCTTCTTCTTCCTCCTCCTCCTCCTCCTCCTCCTCTTCCTCCTCCTCCTCTTCCTCCTCCTCCTCCTCCTCCTCCTCCTCCTCCTCCTCCTCTTCCTCTTCCTCTTCCTCTTCCTCCTCTTCTTCAATAGAGAGAGAAACATAATTTATTGTTCCACTTACTTATGCATTCATTGGTTGATTTTTGTATATACCCTGAATAGGGATCAAACCCACAACCTTGGCTTATTGGGACAATGCTCTGACCAACTGTAGAACATGTCTTAATTGATTTTTAGAGAGAAAGGAAGGGAAGAAGGGAAGGGTGGAGGGAGGGAGGGAGGGAGGGAGAGAATGAGAGAGAGAGAGAGAGAGAGAGAGAGAGAGAGAGAGAGAGAGAAAGAGAGAGAGAGAGAGAGAGTTGTGAGAAACATCAGTCGGTTGCCTCCTGTACATGCCTGACCCAGGCTTAAACTGGAAACCCAGGTATGTGCCCTGGGTTTTGAAGCCACAACATTTTGGTGAATGGGACAACGCTCCAACCGATTGAGCCACCTGGCTAGGGCAGGGCTGCTTTCTTAATACAACAGTGTGAAAGTCAGAGGTAATAGTCTATTTCTTGTGCTTACACTAAAAGGAAACTTTGGTGTTTGTTTTCCTTTTCTTTCAATGAAAGTCTTGTTCCTGTCATGAAAGGTTTGAGATTTATGGCTTGAGGCTTTATAAACCCTTTGTTTTCTACTTTTGAAGTCATATATTGAAACATTAAGGAGTTTATTTTCTTTTCAATGACAAGAAAGGGAATGTTTTAGAGTGTATTTTCACTGATACTTATAGTAACTTGAATATCATAGAATAGATCAAGTTCATATTGATTCATGAAGTGTCTGAGTTTTCAGCACAAACCATAAACTAAGTGATGCAGTTACGATGCCCAAATAATATGAATTTGGTGTTAATAATCCAATTGAAGTTTTAGTTTTTTATCTAAATGTGTGAAACTTCTGGATTTCATCCATGGGATTGGTTCTGAACGAATGAATGGATTTGCAGCTCAACTAACACAGACACATCTATATGCTGCCTGGAAGGCTGCTCCATGAATTATGCATCTGTAGTCTTTTGTGTCACTTCAGAGGTTCGGCAGAACTGGAGAGAGAGGTGCCCAGATTCAAATGGTCTAAAAAATTGGATATGGTGGCCAGGAGTCACTATTGCAGAAGATTTTCTGTCTTGGCACGGTTCTGTGAGAGATTGGGGCAAATAGCCCATAGACCAATAGGATGGCTTGAACTTGGCCTTTAAAACTGTTTATTTTTTATTTTTTATTTATTTTTTATTTTTATTTTTTAATGCAAGGTGTAATCCTTATCCTTGGAGATTTCTGCTGCCAGACCACTGATGGAGGACTTCGGGGTGTGTGCTTAGGGACTGTCATTCTCCAGTCCAGGCACTGAGCTCAGTGAAAGAAATTAAGTGTTAGGGGAGACTGAGGCCTCATTAAAGTGATCACATTTGATTGAGCAGAGCAGCATTTAGCTGAGTCCCCCTCAGTGGTATTCCAGAAGTTGCTGAGCTTATTATACATATCGATCATATCATCTTTGTGCATTCATGAAAGGAATGTCTATTTAATGTGGACATGACCAGCCATCAGCAAGAATAAATGCCTCACTAGAGCTTGCTATGGATGACTGTTGGCCTCATGGATGGTAACCCTGAATCAATCTGGCTAGATTTTTTTTTTAATTGCTTGTGCACCGTACCATCACAGGTTAACCCTGTTGGGGCTCTAAGCTTAAGTGAGCGCTAAAGCAAAAAATCTAGCATTCTGTGGGTAGTTGGAAATGCCAGGTTTGTTTTTGTGGAGTCGTAGTGTAATACCATTTAAAAAAAAATAATGCAACCTCTGCTTAATTCTAGTTGTGAAATTTAAGAGAACATGGAACTCACACGTTGAGCCTGTGAGCACTTTGGTTTAATCTGGGTTCTTTGTTTCAGGTATATAAATTATACATCCCAGTGTAATGCGGATATGACAGCTTCTATGGACAATGAGAAATGACTTTGAAAAGATAGAGAAGGTTAGAATATACAGATTTCTAGCTCAGACTAGGAGGCTCAGGCTGCCTTGTCAGATAGAGATGCTTTTAAAAATTAATTCAATAAACATTTATTAAGCTCTTACTCTGTAATGTAGACTCCTTCTTTTTATTTTAAAATTTTCCCACTTTATTGAGTTATAATTGACACATAACTGTGTAAGTTTAAGGTGTACAGGGGTTGGTTTGATACATTTATGTATTTCAAAATTATTACCACTATAACATTAGCTACTACCTCCATCTGTCACATAGTTTAACGTTTCCTTTTGTGGTCAGAACATGTAAGATCTACTTTCTTAGCAACATTCAAGTATGTGATATAGGATTATTAGTTGTAATCATTATGCTGTAAATTATATCTCCAAATTTTTATATCTTATAACTGGAAGTTTGTACCCATTTACTAACATCTCTCTATTTCCCTGGATAGAGATTCTTTAAGGCCCATGCAAACATTAAGATAATTAACAAACACAGCCTCCCGTTTTGCTTCCAGATCTAACAGTTGATAAATTCATAAAACACAGTCACCTAATAGAAAGGTTTTAAATCTGTCCAAGTAGATTCATTATTTTCACAGTTTGATAGCTATAATAACAACAGCACCTTATAGTTAGATATTAATTTATAACTCAGAAGGTTTTCATACGTTATCCAAAATTTGGGTGGGCTGGAAACGTTAAAGTTATTTGGTACTTTTATATTACACGTCAAAAGACAATCACAGTGTCCTTTGATTTCATGGAGGAAGAATCTGTCACTAAATGAAACTGATAAAGCAAATTCTGCATTTATTTTTAAAGAATACTCTTGAAAAGGGAAAGCAAAAAAGGGAAGCTTGTCACTCAGTGTTACTATTAATAACATTTTTCTCCATTCATTAAAATAAAGGGAGAACCTTGTAGCCTACTTACCTTTCTATGTGGTAGTGTACAATTAAATCATTTCTCTGCTGAGGTTTTGCTTTATCTGAAATGAATTAGAAAGCAGTTCTAACTTACATTCATCCGAGCCACAAAAGGTCAATTAGTTGTTTTCATTTTCAAAATAAAAATTTTTAGCTGTTTTTTTGCTATACCTTTCAATATTTTTGTATTAGTGTGGTATGGACTTTGTAGAGGAAGATGCTAAAACTGTGTTTCTGTTTGTAAGCAAAATGAATACCTTTTTTTCTTATTATCTTTAAATTGCAAATGTCTGAAGGCCTGTCATAGTTTGACATGCCACCCTGAGATTTAAATGCATTACAATTTTGAACAGGAGTTGAAAAATGAACATGCCCCTGGGGGAGGTGGGTCGAGGCTGGCAGAAAGCGGGCAGTGCAAAGGGGTTTTGATTTATGCATCCTTTTCAAATAGTTATCAATAATATAAATAAGTAGCTTCTGCTTCTCTTTCAGAACTTTGCAGAAAACACCATGAATGAACTCCTTGGCTGGTATGGCTACGATAAGGTTGAATTGAAAGATGGTGAAGATATTGAATTCAGGAGCTACCCCACAGACGGAGAGAGCCGGCAGCACATTTCTGTTCTCAAAGGTAATGACATTTAATGTGCCTGTGCTCATGCCAAGAAGGATTAACTATCTCAACTTGCCAGAATTGAGCTGCTTTGGGACTCATTTTGTTGATTATGCCAATGGTTGATTTACACGCACATCCCCAGTGGTGTTTTCCCATAAGCAGAATTCCACGGAATATAAGAGCACAACATAAAACAAAGGTAGACGCAGCCTGATCTTCCAGCAACGGGAGAACTAGCTAGACAAGGGCTAGGGACCTTGAGTGCTCTCGTCCTGCCCACATATGTATAGAAAGGGATAATATTTGCTAACTTCTCCTGCTTTTCTTGTCTTTTAAAAAAATATATTTTATTGATTTTTTACAGAGAGGAAGGGAGAGGGATAGAGAGGTAGAAACATTGATGAGAGAGAAGCATCGATCAGCTGCCTCCTGCACACCCTCTACTGAGGATGTACCTGCAACCAAGGTACATGCCCTTCACCGGAATCGAACTTGGGACCCTTGAGTCATAGGCCAACACTCTATCTGAGCCAAACCAGCTAGGGCTATCCTGCTTTTCTAAGCCCTTTGATATATGAATTGTTGGAGACTGGTGCTTTCTGTGATGTAAAATGCTAGGTTTAGATTTTCAGATGCAAGAGAGTATCATGGTCATTTTGGTAATTCCTCCGACCCTTTTTTGTTGGTGGGAATTCTAAAGAAAAGCCCTATTTCTGTTTCGTGTTTGAAGTTTTTACCCTTCCCACATCCCCAACATCTGTGGGTGGGGTAGGTAGAGGAGTAAGAACATAGTAGATGGTTGGATCCTGTATTATTCTACAAGAAGTTCCTTAAAGCTCAGCCAAAGAGTGGAAATTAGAGGCTTGACAGAGTTGAATTAACACTGATTCTGCTGGTGGTAGTAGAATCAGATGTCTCATCATCAGGGAGCTTAGGATCATTGGGAGGTGTTGTATGGATACTGAACTTATGAACCTAAATTTGGAAGGAATGTCCAAGAAAAGAAGAGGAATATGTGAAGAAGCAATTTGAGGAACTTTAATAAAATGTGGGTAAAACTAATTGTTTGTTGTCTTTGGCAATTTGATTAGTATTTGCATTGCTTTCTGAGATTATTGGCATAAACTACCTGTTCATGCATTTTGTTTCCAGTCTCTAAAATAGCATTTTTCCTTCTTATATGCCAAACCACAAACTACAAATGAGCTGTCCTGCAGGCATGTGGAATTAAATGTACGTGACAAATTTTACGTTAAGCTTGCTATGAAATTGTACACATCATGTTGTAGCAATAGTACCAATGTCACTTGTAAATGAAAAATACGAGTTATGAGTTCATATTCTATAAACTAATAGCTCATAAAATACTTGGTCTAGGTCATAATCTTTCCCTCTGTGGAACAGGGTACCAGGATATGTGACTAAAGGGACTAAGTTGTTTTCTATGGTTAAGGTATTTGTTTGTTTGCTTTAAATGATGGACACGCAAAGATAAAATTCACAAAGTTCATGCTATTGTACGTTTTATTTATTTTCATTTTTAATTGATATTGATGGGTTAATTTAATGGGTCTACCTTGTGCAACAACAGTTTTGTTCCTAATCATTTGTTTATTTTCTTTTGATTAGAGTATGGACCAAGTTTATAATACACTGGGACTTAGTTACAGTGCTGGGTGGGTGGGGCACTTCTTCAGCTTTCCCCCGCTAGACAGAGAGTGGTGCCTGCTATACATCACTTTGTACACGGAAAAGGTTAATTGCCTCTCAATTTTCTACGGGCTTTTATAGTACTAAAATTCATCATCATGATGCAATTGGGATGTTAGCTATCATAGCAGGGCAAATTATAAAGGAGCCCATTGGAGATTTATGGCAACAAGTCTGAACAGGTCCTGGATGGTTTGTAGTGTTCTGGTAAAGTGTTTAAAGGTTTGCTAGGAAAATGAGTTTTTGCTACACAGATATTTTACTTGAGAAAATGTGGTCATAAGGGAAATAAAGTTCTGTTGTCGTGTTGAATGTGATTTCTTTTCTTTTACAGAAAATTCCTTGCCAAAACCAAAATTACCCGAGGACAGTGTTATTTCACCATACAATATAAGCACAGGCTATTCAGGGCTTGCCACAGGAAATGGACTCAGTGACTCACCTGCAGGGTCAAAGGATCATGGCAACGTGCCCATTATTGTACCTTTAATTCCTCCACCTTTCATAAAGCCACCAGCAGGTAAGTCATGACTGGGGTTCCCAACAATAATGACTCATAGAAAGTTGTTTTAACTATCTTAAAAATAATGATCAAGCTCGAGTTAATTTTGGAAAAGACTTTTAGAAACTTTGTAGATAAGAAATGTGAATGCATGTATTCTTTAAAGTAGTATTGCCATTTTAAGCAAACTCTCCCATCTATTGCTTAGGCTGTAAACTTTGAACCTATAGTACATTTTTTTCTGCCACTGGCTACAAAAACGTATTTTCCTCCTCTGAAACCATCTGTTTGAAATAAAAAGGGATGAAATAATTTTTAAAATAAGATCTATACTGACGGGTTAGCAAGAAAAGAAGTAAGCATGGCTGGTAGTGGCTTGAGGGCCAGGTCTGCTGTGTGGGTTTCTAAAGGAAGGGGCAGTTTTGTAAAGCTCTCAAAGACCTTTCTAGGAATCAGAAAGAACTCTATGGCAGAGATGGGTAATCAAGGCTGTTTCTTAAGTGGGCTTAGAAGAAGGAACTTTGAAGAACATGTGAAATGGCTTTCTGCAAGACCCATTTTGCATAGGCCAACTGAAAAGGAGAGGGGTGACTAATTTTATAAATGTAAGGTTCATGCCTGAATGGATGTCCAGTGGCTTAGGTGAGTGATGACGACAGTGAGGGTATCATTAAGGCAGTGCGACTCAGTGAAAAGAACACAGCTTTCAGATTTAGGCAGCGTCACTTACCATCTTTGTGAACATGGATAAATTACATAAACTCTCTTCTCAGTGTCCCCATCTGTAAAATGGGGATCGTAGTTCCATACCAGGGGATTTGCCTTGTCCCTGAGCTGAGAAAATGTATGCAAAGCTCCTTAACATGGTGCCTGCCAAACAAAAGCCATTTAATTTTTTCCTTTTTTCAGTTTCAGTCGGCCCTAGAGTTATCATGCACATAATTTGTGCATGAAAGGTGTGCATCCAAATGCAAATTCCCTCCTAAGATTTATTTGAGCAAAAGCAAACAGCTTTCGAAATTAGCATAGCTGAGGCTAACGTGAGTTTGGCATGCCAAAAAACCTGCCCTGGAGTTTCCTGCTGAGCCAGCCACGTGGAATTCAAGCACACAGCTCCTATTTAATTCTAATTCCACATCAGATCAGGAAATAAATATGCAAAGGGATAGAGGCCAAAAACTGAGCCTTGGAAGTCTTAGACGTTGGAACTCGGAGGAATTACAAGCCAGAGTAACCCAACACCAGTGGTTTTATGCTGTCTTCCATGTGACTCCAAGGTGCTCATCTGTTCAAAGCAAAATGTAGGGAAGGACATGTTTAATTTTCTGTATCTGCTCTCAACCTGACTCGATCCTACTCCTGGGCTCTATAGGAAAAGACAAAGATACAGAAAGGTTCTCTGCTTTCAAGGCCCTTACCCTACTCGTTCCTAAGCAGAAATGAGCAGGAGAGATGAATTTTCATTTAGTCATATTATCTAATTCAGGGATTAGCAACCTTTTTTCTACATAGGGCCAGGTAGGAATTTGGGCTTGGGCGTTGTACTGTCCCTATCACAACTGCTGAACTCTGCTGTGCTCGCAGGAGAGCGGCCATGGGTGATACGTAAACAGATGATCATGGCTGGGTTCCAATAAAACTTTATATTAAAAAAGGCAGTGAGCAGGATTTGGCCAGGGACATAGTTCGGTAACCCTCACCTTAGGGTAAGGTTGGTAAAAGTCTCGTGATAACTGGAAGGTGAATAGCATTTCTAAAAGTCAGGCTGTGAGCTTTGCCAAGGTCCTCTGTACAATGGCATAAGGGACAGTAACAAGGGCTGGAAAACAGTGGGGTTTTCAGGGTATGTGGTGAGCTCTGACACACAGTGGGTGCTCCACCAACAGTTGTTGAATAAATGAATACTATTCAAATTCCTGTGGCCCACATATAAGACGGCACAGGCTACTCCGTTGTTGAATGAGTCCCAGCCTGTCTGACCTCGACCATAGTCTCTCCGACAGTTATGTGAGTAATTCCCTGTGGAGAAGCAAAGTCCACAACTTATCCAGAGACTTCCGTCTCGTTAATCACTTCAGTTCTTTCTTTTACTAAAACGTATACCAGAGTTGTTTGTTATTCAGGGTCATAGAGCTGAGGCACTCTCACTGAGAGTTTTGTAGCCAACTGTAGGTTAACCTGGCATTCCTGAGGTTGTCTAGAAGCAACAGGCCCCTCGATAACCTGCCCCTGAATAGTTTAGAGCTGACGGTATCATGCAAGTGTCCACCTCTCAGGAGAGGAAAGATGCGGGTCCTAGGTGTGCTTTGGATTCCTGGAGAGAAAATAGTGATCAGTGTTTGAATTATTGTTGTACTGTGAACTGACCATGTGAGAATGCTAATAATAGTACCTATGTTTGTATTAAATCCTCTACAGTGTATGAAACTCATTGATGCTTGCTATTTTATTTTATTTGATCTTTACAGTAGCCCTGGGAATTAGCATGTTTGATAGTACTACATAAAAAACTAAAGCTCAAATTGGTTAAGTGGCTTTATCGGGGCCATGTGATTTCTAAGTACTTGAGCCAAGACTAGTACGAAGGTCTTCTGACTCCTAATCCAATGCTTTTTAACACAGAGCTGCACTTCTAGCAAGAATACTTACTAATCTTCTACTTCCCCAGGGACAGGGGGTACAATTTATTCCTGCGAAAGGCTATTTTATTTTAAAAAGTCCACATCTTTTGGAAGACCCGATGAGCTCTCTCCCCCTGAGAACCCGTGGTTCTGTGAACTGGGGCGACCGAGCAGGGGCGAAACCCCAGTTTGGTGTGAAAGTGATTGCCATCCTGAGGCAAGCTGCTGCTTCTCCGAGGTACCAGAGGGCTCTGTCTGGCCGGGCGCTGGTTCCAGGCATGTTTCATGTACTCAGGCTGACCACTGGACCTCGTCCACATTTGGCAGGCTGTGGGCCCAGTGGAATACTCGTGATTGGGAACACGGTGATACCACATGCTCTTGGATTTCCCCTCTCCTCTCGCACAGCTGCATACAGAAGTGTGGGTGTAGCTTGCTTCTGTGCCTGGGGATCTGCTTTTTTGTTCCTGCCCCCTTTTTCTTCAGAGGAGGGGAACTCCCTGTGCTTTGGTGATCACCACAAGCATTGACCCTCCTTTGGCCACACATGTTTGTATCCGATTTCACCCGATTTCTGAGGCTAAGCTGCCCTTCCCCACTCAGAGACAGAATTTGGCCCTTGGTATTGGGTTTGTGACATCACAGTTGTTACTATGGTAATAGACTTGTTATAAACACAGGATAATAGCCCCAATTTTGCTTTTTTATTTTTTTCTCCCCTCTCCAAGCAGTGAAGGGAATCATCATAATCCTTAAATAAGAATCATAGGCTTTTTTGCAGACTCTAGGAGGTAGACCGAATAAGGCTTTGCCATACAGAGCAGTCATTAAAAAAACACTATTATCAGAATAGTATTAGAAAATAATCAAAAGTGTTAACCAACGCCTTCTTTTTATGCAAAGATTCGTGTGTTCTTTTAGTTTGAATGAATATGAAAACCTCATTCTTTTCTAATTTTAAAAATCACAGCATGAGCATAGTCTGAAGTGGCAGACTGCCTATCAGCGAGAGTTTTGAAAGATAACTCAGGTTAATTATATCGTAACCTTGCTGTAATTCTTCTCATATTAGAGATTTTAATATGAATCCAACCCTTTGGGACTTCATTCAAAGAGAACCGTGCTAGTAAAGGACTTTTCTGTATGAAACGAGTTAGAGTGAATCTCCCTCAAAATACTAGGCCTACTCTACTCCCCTGCAAGTTTGACTGTTGAAGTAAAGACATTCAAAATAAAGTCCTTACTAGTAGATTGGTCTTTGCTGCTTTACAAGTGAAATAGCACTTGGCTCCATTGATCTGCCATCAGTCTCGTGCAGTGGTTGGGCAGGTTTGGGTCTCCCCACTGAGTCTACCTCTGGTCAAAGTAACCAGCTGGGACTCAAACGAGGATTTTTTTTTATATCTCAGTCTCAGACTTGCCCTATAACAGCATTTTTTGCTCCCAAGAATTAAGTAAAAATCAATAAAAACTATCAGAGTCATTATTTCCCTTTTCCGGAGGAAAAGATGAAATGCAGCCACTTTCTAATGAAAGTTTTACCGAGCGCTGCTGCAGAAAACAGTGTATCTAGGAAACGACATTTTAGATCCCAGTCTTTGGACAGGTTTTCCCAGAGGCGTACAAGTTGCCTGTTGTAAGCCCAGACTCCCTCTTAGTCCCCGATTACTTTTAAATGAAATGAAATGTGAAAGAAGAAGGGGCTGTATTTCTCTGGATGCGTTTACGTGGCAATCTTGAATAAAACGTCTTTGACCTTAAATGGTAAACGATTGTATTCTCATCCCCCACCATGCTCCTCCGTGTGAGGTGAAGGGCAGGGCCCACACAGGACACGCAGGTTTGTGTGGAGGGAGATGAGATCAAGCCCCTGAGACGGGCTTGATTTCCTGTGTGCAGGAGCGTCTTGCCTTTCTTTGAAAACAATGACCATTTCCTGTCCTCCAGGATAGTTTGCTCTCAGTGAGCGTTCCAAATATGTGTTCAGGCATGGTCATGGAAATATGATATATTTTTTCAGGCAAATCTTGAAATTCTTAAGGGGTTGTAGGAACGGGGCTCTAAGGAACCATTAGCTTAGCTGAGAATGTGGAAACATTCACGTGATCTGCTAAGCTCTATGTATAAAGCTGAGTAACCCACAGTTAATAAGCATGTTACTTTTTGGCTCTTGTAATTCTTACATGGAGTCATACTTGCAGGGAAATGGGAATCAGAATGTGGTTTGCATTATGATCATTATTTATTTTATCTGTTATTCAATATTCTTGGGGCTTGCATATGCATGCTGTATTCCAAGTAGCCATCGAGAAAACAGGATTTAATCAAAATTGCTTTGCCACTTATTTGTGTGTCCAACTTTTAAAATATGATTATTAAATAAAATTACCTTGAGCT